CCCCGACGACCCGGCCAAGACCACCATGAAGAAAGCGTATTACCTGGCCTGTGGGTTTTGCCGCTGGACTTCCCGGGATGTTGGCATGGCAGACAAGTCTGTCGGTAAGTGTCAGTCAAAGACAGAAGACCGAGTGACAGCAGGAGCCCAGTATGTGTTTTATGTTACGCTCTCCCCTCTGTGGAGATCTTGTTTGTGTACCTTCAGAGACTTTGAAGCTTCTCAGGCTGACAGCGTAAACATCTAATTTATTTTCTTTCCCTTTTTTCACTTAGGCTTATTCCAGAGTTACTAGTCAGTGTTTGTACTTGGTTTTTTCTCTTCATGACAGCACTGGAACAAAGCTTTCATCTGTTTCTGGGTGCATAAGATATGTAGAAAATATCTGTTGGGCTCCAGAAATGGGGCTGAGTAGACCAAGCAGATCCTCTGACTTCCAGTGTTGATGTGACTGGAGACTGGGAGCTGAAGATGCAGGGTCATGGGCAGCCAGTGATAAGAGAGTGTTCTTGTAAACTCATGTACCTGCTGCTAAAGTGACTTCTAGGTGCTGTTCTGAGCACCTCTCAAACAGCGTTAGTGTGAAAACACAGTATAAAAGCTGGTGGAGGTCCTTCAGCCCAAACCTGCCCGTGAAAGGATTTCAGAGGTGTATATTTGTGCAGGCATGAACTTGAAGAATTATAAGTGTAGCAAAAATAGGAAACGTCATATTTCATGAGTAAGGCTGAGATAGTTCGGTGTTAGATGTGATTTCTCTGTGGATTCTGAATATCTTCTCCTGAGGACTTTGTTTTCTTCTCCTTTTTCCATGCAGCTAGTGGTGGCTGGCAGGAGCCAGAGAATCCTCACACACAGAGGGTGAGTGAAGGGGAGACACATCAACTAGGAGCTGTTAGAGGTGCCAGGCTCTCTCCATCACTTTTTCTGCATCTATATAATCCTTCAGATACCAGTTCCAGTTCCTAATCTCCACCTTGACTGAATTCAGTGGAAGGAAGGCCTCTTAGAGGCTGTCCTGTGGATGTCACGGTATAAAATCTCCCTTTCAGAAGAAACTCAGTTGAAAACATCATCTCTAGTAGCGCTGTTAAAAAGACACCAATGAATATGCTGCATATGTGTGTGAAGAAAGCTGTTTTCCCGTAAAGAGTGTGTCTAGGATCTGGAAAACGGAATTGCACCTTCACTACCCTTCCCTGTCACCCTTTAAGGCTCTACACTAAACATGATCAGCCTTGGCCTGGGTGAAAATGTTGTTTGCTCCACTGATCCAAACTGGTCAGTTTTGGCCACTCTGCCCAGTTATGGCAAATGTGTGAACAAAGTGTCAGTTGCCTAACTGCAAAGTGAGAACTGGACGCTGCTCTCTGATAGATGTCATTCCCAAAAGAGGGGCGGTTTGTAACCTGACGCACAAGCTTCTTTAATGGGTATCCTTCAAAATACAGTTAGTACTAGGAACAGAGTGGAACAAGTAGCAGGAACCTCAGCTTGATCACAGGCAAATAGCAGCTGATCTGGTGTTTGTTCACACAGTATCTGTTCCTTTTCATCCCTCCAGATTAACAAACTGGTTGAGTACTACCAGCAGTTGGCTCAGAAAGAGAAGATTGAGCGGGACCGGAAGAAGCTGGTGCGACGCCGAAACTACATGCCCCTGGCGTTTTCGGTGAGCTGGGAGTACTGTGCTCTCAGAGCAGGAAGAGTGATGCAGAACAGCCTCGGCCTGAAAAATAACTGGTGGCACAACAGGGCTACTCGGCTTTCTTTTATTGAAAACAACATGAAGAAAATGTGCTGGGGCACACGGGTTTCTTTAGGGACAAGTAGTTTCACGCCCATTGTTGTGTAATACATTGCCTCTTTCTCTGATAGTCCTCTCTGATAATGCCAGGAGCGTTTATACTTGCCAGGCAAAGGAATATGTTATCCAGCAGTGAAGTGCAGTGCAACCTCAGTCCCACTGCCAGTGGTAGCTCTTAGGACAGCTGCCTACCACAGCTCAGTAACAGTTAGATTAGGATGTTCTGGCACTTTCCTGCATGAAGTCTCAACTGAAACTAACCCTAAGAGTTGGTTGTGGCCCGAGTGACTTGTTTGTTGTAACTGGCAGGCCAGTGCTTACTCTGTTTAGCTGGGTGACTCTGCGTATGCTTGCTACTTCTCAATGAACTGTGCTTGCTCTGTGCCCTTGCTTGTGTCTTATGGCTGCATTTTTTGTCTCCGTTGCTACCTGCTGCTATTTTGGGGGCTCTCCACAGCAACACACTATACACGTAGTGGTAAGTCTTTTCACAGTTTCTGCTGGTGTTAAAGCTCTCATGGTACCAACTGAAGGGCAGTAGGAGATCCTGCTCTTCACATTGCCTCAGGGCCTCTGACTTGGATGTGCCCAGAACAAACACAGGTGAAGGCTAACTAATTAGATGGTAACATCTGTTACAAAAAATCTTTTTGGTAGTTTACAAACAGAGCAGTGTCTTTAAGTAAGTAACATACACTTGAAAAGCAGTCCTTCACAGAGCGTGGCTGAGACACAGCCATCCGTCTGCCTGAGGCAGATGGCACTAAAGTTAGTCTCCTGATCCTTGAAAAATAACCAGGGTAGGCTGACACTCAGCTTTCTCATTTGTTGAGAATTCAGGTTTTCGGTCCTGCCCAGAAGGAAGATTTCTGCCTCCAAGCACCCTGTGTGCATCTCAGCTGTAGAAAGCTGAGGAGTAGCTCAGCTGTTCCTGCTAACTGGTGGTGCCTGGCAAGAGAAACCTGTAGGTGATGAGGCTGGTAGGAAGCTGAACCTTCCAGCTGATTCTAGTAGTGCTACAGGGCATCTCAGATGGATGCGTACCCATGTCGACCCAGTTCTTTTGGCAGTTGAGCTCTCATTCTGCACTACTTGACATGCAGTTGCTCTGAAGAGAAGACCAAGGGAAAATGTGCCAGTAGTGCAGGCTGGTGATTTAAGGAAGGAGCAAAAAGCTTTATAAGCAGTAGCCACATCTGTCTCTCCCCATCTGCAGTGCCATGGTAATTGTTTTCTCCTTACTAACAGTTTGAGCAGGAAAAAAAATCTTGGGAAGCATTGAATACCTTTCCCTTTTTGCTTTCCTTTGCTTGTCTCCCTATGCTTGTCATGCAGCTCAAAGGATGAGTTTGCAGTAGGTCTTTCTGTCCTGGCAGAGAGCGGACCTGAAGCTGACGATTCCTTTTTACCTTGTAGGACAAATATGGCCTGGGAACCAGGCTTCAACGCCAGAGGCCCGGAGCACCCATCAGTGCCCTCGCTGGACTCTCGTGAGTCTCAGGGTTGGGGTTGTCTTTGTGGGAAGGATGGGAGGTGTGGGCAGCCTCCTACAGAACAGTAAAGCGGCTTCAGAAAGATGATGAACATATTAGCAGATAAGAGTGAAAGGAGCTTTCTTCTTTGGAGCATTAGGGAGATGTCAAATCCTCAGACATCTCTGTGCAACAGCTCCAGATGTTTTGCTTTCTCCTCATAGAAGGAAGTGACTGCTCACATCCTTGTGCAGTTACTGTTGTCTTGCAGTCTCAGCTCTCACTGCCTCCTGTGTGATAATGCAGTTACTGCTGCTGCTTTTTGTCAGAGCATGCGTGCTTTATTTTGTGACTGAGTTGTCCCTCATTTTACTTCAGGCTGAAAGAAGGAGAGGACCAGAAAGAGATCAAGATTGAGCCATCGGATGCAGTGGAAGAAGTGGAACCTCTTCCTGAGGATTACTACACAAGACCAATCAATCTAACAGAAGGTAGCACCTTAATATTCTGTCACTTTTGGCCCTTACATTTTATAACATGGACAGTCCCTGGAAGCTTATCAGTGGGGTTCCTCATGGCCCGAGGTTTTAGTAATTTTTATGCTGGGATTGAAATGGTGGGAAGTTTGTGACTTTTAAAATGGTAACTTTGGATGAAGCCTCAGCTTCGTGTTGTACTGGGGAAGCTCGGAGCCAAATACGTCAGGCCTCGTAACAGTCGTTTCATTTTCTTGCTGACCTTAATTTCTCCACATGTGAAGTGTCAACTTTGGGATGGAGAAAAGAGCTGACGTCCTTTTTCAAATAATAGCAGGAAATAAGGAGGCAGCCGAGCTGCTGAGGAGTTGGAACCTTAACTGACCTGTTAAATAACAGTTGCATGTTACTTTGACATCAGCTGGGAACAGCTTGCATGCACTTGCCAGTTATTTAGCTAGCTCATGATTTAATCAGCAAATCTTGTAAACTGGTCAACGAAACTTCAGAGTGGGGTAAAACAGAAGGTACGGAAACTGATCTGAGGTGGCTCTAAGTAGGACAGATGTTCTCGGTAGTCCTGCAGGCCTACGACGTGCGCTAATGCTAATTAATTTATGAAAGGTTTATGGAAAGGGGTAGATCATCTTGGTCTCCTTTTCTCAGGAGACTGTCAGCGTTGTGACAGTGTGATGCTGGTAAAGAAGACAACTTTCACGATTCCCTGCAGTGAGGGAAAGGCTGCCAGGTGGCTCACTGCCTGTTAGACACTGGGAACAGTGAGGAGCCTGGTTTTTGGGAGAAATCCACAGGAAGTTTGGCTGCTGGAGTTCCTCGCCTCGGGAACTAATTCTGTCTGTGTGAGCCTGAGATGCAGACTCCTTGCTGGGAAGCTATATATTGTACTGGTGCAGCACCCAGCTGTGAGGGTAACAAAGCTATGCACTGATTTGCCCTTGAGAAAGAGCTTCTTTTTTAGAAGATGACAAAATTCTGTTTCCACCCCAGCTGAGCTTCGAATAGAGATCAGGGTTTCTCCCGGGCTGGCAATGATGTCGCTCTAGGGCCCAGTCCGGGCAGCCCTTTCTACAACTCTTACCTTCCATTTATTCTCTGCTAGAAACAGTGATACTGGCCAGTGGCTTCTTAATTATTGGGTGCAAGTGAAATTAAGTTTCTTGGAGATTGTAGCGTGTCTGGACACAGTGCGTGGCACACTCGCTGTGTGCAATGCTCAAGTTTCAGTGCCTGAGCAAGAGGTTAATTTGTCTTTTTCTGTTGTGTGCCAAGTGACAACTCTGCGTCAGCGTCTGCTGCAGCCTGACTTCCAGCCGATCTGCGCTTCCCAGCTCTATCCACGTCATAAGCACCTCCTGATCAAACGTTCACTGCGCTGCCGGGTAGGTAATTAAATGTAAAAATGTGCTTTTTCTTGGCTCGCAGGACTTAGAATAATAGAGTCATAGGGTCATTTACGTTGGAAAAGACCTTTAAGATCAAGTCCAGCCATTAACCTGACACTGCCAAGTCCACCGCTAAACCCTGTCCCTGAGCACCACCTCTACACATCTTCTAAATACCTCCAGGGATGGTGACTCAGCCACTTTCCTGGGCAGCCTGTTCCAATGCTTGACAACCCTTTCAGTGAAGAAGTTTTTCCTAATATCCAATCTAAACCTGCCCTGGTGCAACTTGAGGCCATTTCCTCTTGTCCTATTGCTTGTTACATGGAAGAAGAGACCAACAGTCACCTACAAGCTCCTTTCAGGTAGTTGTAGAGAGCGATAAGGTCTCCCCTCAGCCTCCTTTTCTCCAGGCTAAACAACCCCAGTTCCAGCCATCCAGCCAGTTTTTTACTCAACGAAGAGTATGCCTGTCCAAGCCATGAGCAGCCAGTTTCTCCAGGAGAATGCTGGGGAAAATGATGTCAAAGACTTTACTAAAGTCTGGGTAGACAACATCCACAGCCTTTCCGCAGGGGTTGTGGGAGGTGGGCTGTGCGTTTCTTTTCAAAAGAAATTGCTCAAATGCTTCTAGTTGTTGAAAGTTCTCAACCAAATTACTGGTAACAGCACCAGGAGATGAGGGAGGCTGTTGCATCTCTGACGTGATGGAGATTGTGAAAGGGGGACAACATTGTCAAAGATGCATGAGGATATAAAAGTGTTTTTGTGTGAAGGTCTGTGTGATGCTCCTAGCCAAGGAATCACAGAAGGCTTCCAGTACAGATGGAATTAGAAAATTTCTGCTATTCCTAAGACAAAAATCAAGTTAGCAAACAAAATATTAGTGAGAGGCAGCGCAGAATACTGAAGATGTCCTTAGAGTGAAGGCAGAAAGAAGATATTTCAGAGAATAAAAACAGAGACCTGGGAATTGAAGACAGGCAGGAATTAAATGCAAGTTCTGCTGTTGGCTTACTACATAGTCTTTAAAAAGCTGCTTGCCTTCTCAGTGAAGCAGGGATATTTATCCAGTTCCCAGAGTAACAGAGAAATATTCTTGTAAGTATTTAAGATGCAGAATACTTTGCAAATGCAGAATATTTTCTCAGAAATAGGTAACGTCAGGCGGAGCCTGTATTTGAAGAGTAGCCTATGAGGAGATTGGTCTTGAGTTCCAGCTGTTTGGTTTTTTAATAGATTCTGGCTTCCAAATCTCATGTTTCTGAGACTGCACTAATGGTACTGGAGATGACATTTTTGGAGTATCAGTGACTTGACACGGCGATGGCTACACGCACCTCAAGGCCGTTTATGTGTGTGCTCTACTAGAGGCCAGTGATTTCGTGGCTAGTGGCACGGTGCTTGCAGCTCTGATTCTTCAGTCTGCGACTGCATGCTCTCTTTGGTGCTGACTAAAATATCTCTGTCTCTAGAAATGTGAACATAACCTGAGCAAGCCAGAATTCAATCCAACATCTATCAAATTCAAGATCCAGCTGGTTGCTGTGTAAGTAAGATATGGAGACTGGGGAGAGCAACTACCCATCCATGCTTAGTTAATGTCCTCTTTTTTAATTTCTTTTGTATTCTTGACCTCTTGTATAGTTGCATCACCTCTTAGGATGGTGTAATCACCTTTTAAAATATATTTAGCTTCTCTGTAGTAGGTTTGCTTCCTGATGTACTAAAAAGTTTCCTGAAGACTTTAATGGTTTGAAAAAGGCATTGCTTGCTGTGCCAGCCCCACGCGGTAGCACGAGTTTGTAGGATTAGGCTTGTATAGCAAAAGGGCACTTCATTTTTCTTTTTAGTGTAAGCTACGATCTAATAGTATTGAGAGAGTTACATGGATGTCTGTGCAAGACAGCAACAGTTTATCACGGTCATTTGCTTTGTTCTTGTTGTAGTAACTATATCCCAGAAGTGAGAATCATGTCTATTCCCAAGCTGCGCTACAAGAAGGTCAGTCGTTTCTTCCAGAAATGTCTTAGGTTGAGACATAGCTGGGAGGTGTGGATGTGGGATCTTTTTGGAAGTTGACGTGGTGTGATGATTGTTCCCTAAGGGCTTCGCTTACTGCATTTAGAGAGGGTGCAGGGTTTAAGGGAGTGGTCAGAATAACACTGCATGTACTTGTCGCTCTGCAGGAGTAGATTTCCGTGCAGTGTGACATCTGGCATCGCAAGCAGATGCCAATATCTGAAGAATAAAAGGTGTGGAGTTGAGATCTTGGCTAGATTCCAAAGATACCTATTTCTTATATTAAGAAATTGTGCTGCATGGCATTGACACCTTTCTCACGGACTGGGGGTGTTTGTTATCTGCCCCCTGGTGGGATGGATATGTGGTGCAGTTTTTTAAGGTGTTGATCAGTCACAAAAGATGGAGGTCCTAACAGTAACGGTGAATTTTAGAGAAACTGTATCTTGAACTGCGATTCCTGCATCTCCCCAGGAGAGCCAAGTCCTTCTGACTCTGACCAATCCAGTGGAGAACATCACACATGTCACACTACTGGAGTGTGAGGAGGGAGACCCTGACAACATCAACAGCACTGCCAAGGTATTGTACCCTCCTGCTGTGCAAGCCCGGGCCTCTTCCAAGGCTTTCCACTCCCGTTTATCCTTGCACAGGTCACACTTTTCATATGTCCTTCAGTCCCTGCTGACTGTTGCATTTTCATCCTTGGAGCTTAAATGAGCGTCACCAATGTAAATATCAGCTCATAAAGTATTTTGAAATTGTGTCTGTTCTTTGAGATCCAGAAGCCAAGGGAGAAATTCACGATTTCTCTGGCAGAGCAGTAACCCGGCGCTACCAGAGTGCAGGAAAGATGATGATGAATCATTTTTTTTCTGTTAAACTGTAGTAAAGCAGCCCTCAGAAGGGGAGGGCTCTGTCCTGCTCGCAGTGTAGGTGGTGATCAGTGCTGAAAGCTGCTTCTCTTTGTGTTCTGCTTCAGGTGGCAGTTCCTCCCAAGGAGCTTATTCTGGCTGGCAAAGATGCTGCAGCGGAATATGATGAGCTGGCAGAGCCTCAAGACTTCCAGGATGACCCTGAGTGAGTGTTGTCTGTCCAGTAGGGTTCTTACCCCTTAACCTTGGCACTTCAAACAAGGAACTCGCTCTCCTCCCTGTCTTCAGCATGTTTTGGGTTTTTTGGTCAGGTTTTCTTGGGGAGGGAGTGGCGGTATGGTTTTGGGGGAGTCAGAGATCAGCGATGCAAGTCTTTTCTGCTTGTGGTTTGGACTGTTGAGGAGATATTTGTTCCCTTTGAAGCAAGGTGTGCTGTTATAGCAGTTGAGTTATAGGTGGTGGTAGTAATTCCAGGAATATCCTGTGTAATCCTTTCCTTTGCAAGCAGAGGGTTCACAGTGACGGGGAGAACTACGCTGTAGGGTGTGTGACAGAGTTGTCTCCAGCCTTTGAAATGGAATACTTTCTGCGGCCTCTTACAGAGCAACTGGAGCTGTACTCTGTGGCACTTCGCTGTGGCACAGCTGGCTACGTAACTCCCCCAGCCAAAGCAGGCATGTTCAGCTGGGTGGATGTGCCAGCAGCTGTCACCATGAAGGGGGTACCCACGTTCTGATTGTGAGGCAGGAGGGGCTGTGGGCCCCTTGCAAAAAGCAGCGAGGAGTGAGCTACAGACCAGGGCACCTGTTCCTGCAGGGCCTGTTTAGCCATAAACTGAGCATCCCTCATATGTTGTGTCTCAGAATAAATCTCTCAGAACAATTGTTGAAGAACTTGGCTGACCCACGGTTCTTTTGTTTTCTGCCTGGCAGCGTTATTGCTTTCCGAAAAGCCAATAAGGTGGGAGTTTTCATCAAGGTCACTCCGCAGGAAGAAGAGGGCGAAGTGACCGTGAGCTTCAAGATGAAGCACGAGTTTAAAAACCTTGCTGCTCCAATCCGGCCCAGTGAGGAGGGCGATCATGGCTCTGAGGTCATCTGGCTCACCCATCACGTGGAGCTCAGCCTCGGTCCAGTGCTCCCATAACGCTCCCAACGCTTGTGCCCCGACAGCTGGCCGCAGGATGGACTGTCCCAGTGAAGAAAGCACCTAGCGGAATGTTCTGCGAGAGCTCCTTTGTGATGTGTGGGTGTGTGTGCCAGTGGCCCCAGCCAGGCCGCGAGGAGGTGGCTGAGGGTGCCATGGTTCAGGATGGTTTGTTCTCTCTGCTCTTTGTTGTAGTGCCCACTGACCACTGCTCTGCTTCCCCACACGGCCGCGGGGTAGTTTAACTTGCAGCACGTGTTTCAGCACAGAGAAAGACCTCGCTTTCTCCAGATTTGCACTACATCTGGCCGAATCTGGTTTATCAACAGAAAATAACCCGTATTGTTTATTCCTCATCTCAGCCCACAACCCTGATGTTACTCAGTAGTGAACAACTTCTTACTCACACAGAGCTGTGCTCTTCCCGAACAAACGTTTTAGGAAGTGGCCATGTCTGCTGCGTTATTGGCAAGTTACTGGCAGCAGCACGATGCTTTCTTCTCTCGGTTTTCTGCTTCCTTGTAGGATACCTCAGCTGTGGGGCATTGGGACATACAACCCTACCACTCTGGCATATGCAGCTTGCTTAGCCAAGGTGATAGAGCTGTTCTCACAAAGGAAACGATCGATTTGCCTTTAAACTCAAAATGTAGTGTACTGTAGCGTTCATGGATTTGACTGGCAACCGAGCCCGCTATGTGCCAGGTGGATGTGGAACACATCCTTGATGCATTGCCAGCTGGGAATCCAGCTTCTGGTGCAGCTCTTGACTGAGGCAGGGATGCTCCAGAGAGGCTGCCTGGCAGTCTTCAGGTCAATAAATGTGCGTTAAGAGGGGTAGCAGTCGGAGTGTGAAACCTGGAGAGTTCAGATTAGGTCTGGTATACATAAAACTAGAGAGGCTGTTCCAGTTCTTATCTTTTTCCCGTTAGGGTGAGTGGGAGGAAGGTGGAAAGGCAATTATACGTTAACTAGCTTATACTGTATCATGAGGCAGTTTATCCCGGGTGTGATTTGGCTGTAGTCCAAGCTAAAACCAGTAGTTAAGAGCAGTGTATCCAGGATACTGAATTACCAGTAACTGCAGTAGCTTAGTGCCGGTGGGTGAGATCCCTTTCCCTGCAGGGACTTCAGTTGCATTCCTGGTTCAGACACTGACCTTCGTTAAACGTTTCTGATGGGCTTTGCTGTGCTGGGAAAAGCTTGAGTACCAGCCTGCCGCGGCTGTGGTGCTCGAGACAACTTTTGCCACGGTTCTGCCAGCCTGGAGCTGCAAATCCTTTGCACGGGAGGGCGGGATGAGGCTGCCTGCTCTCTGGGAGAGGTGGTGAAGCACCTGAAAACATCTCCCTTAGCCCGAGAAACCTGCCTTGGTGTGCCCGGGGGAGCCGCGCGCCTTCCAGCCTAGATCCTGCAGCGGGTCTCGGAGTGGCGAGGCATCACGTTTACAACTGCACGTAGGTTACACGCAGATGTGCAGCATGAGGCTAAGACTTGTAGTTGATAGTTACGTCTAGTGCCAGTGCCAGTGCCTGCTGCGGCTTCACCTGTCCGGATGACAAAGTACTTAACCCTTGGCTGTGACTTCTCCTCCTCAGTAGCCAAAACAGCTGTGGCACTTGTGACACTAATATGGAAAAGAGCATTCCCGGGACGAGCTGGTGCTGATGAGGCCTTGAGCTGCTGCCCGGCATCCTGCCGGGGCTGGTGGCCGCTGTACCACCGGCGATGGGCTGGAGCTTGCACGACCTTCTGGTGAGCGCTCCGTTCCTCACTGCAAACAAAAAGGTGCGTTGATCTATGACGTTCTGAGCGGTCTCAGTAGCTCGGTGAGTTTTTCCCCCTCCCGTAGGTGCTCGTAGGCGGTAGGAAAGGTGTCGGTGTGCCCCTCCCGTAGGTGCTCGTAGGCGGTAGGAAAGGTGTCGTTCCCAGCAGCGCCTGTTGCCGTACTGCTTGTCGTGTAGTGACCTTCAATAAACAAACGTGGCTCTCGGGTTCTTCGCGCTGATTCTTAACGCTGCGGTTCCTTAGAAAATAATGGGGGGAAAAAAAGAAACTGCCCCCGGCGCGCCCTTCCCGGTGGTTTCGCCCGCGCACCCCCCCGGCGCGCCGTTCCCGG